AAATATTATCATGTTTTTAGGGCATGAATCTGAATTGAACAACCTGATAATGCTCACTCTGGTTATTGTTTCCGTTTTTAAAAGCGCTATATGTTGAGCCACCTCAACTAGATTTGCCATGTGACATTTTTAGCAGCAATCATTGGTCGATTTTCTAACGTTGCCATTCGGGGAGTTGTAATGAGGCTATTTTTTGGTGCCGTGTAAGAGAAATATATGTATAGATTTTAGTTATTTTATAATAAAACTATCTTTTGCAATTATGTGTGATAATATATTTTAAATAATCAAGTTTATCACAATGTTAAAATTTTCAATGATTTACGTTTGCATGTTGTTTTGGAGTTATTGTTCTTAAAATATATTTTTGAAATCTCAATCAAAAATGAATTAAACAATATGCTCATTAGAGGTCACAAATTAATATTTAAGAGATGTAAAAAATAAAAATAAAAGTGGTATAGAAATCTAACAAACCACATAAAGAAATTGTTGGGGTTGTTTCGAATTCCATTTGCCAATCAGCAAGCCTGCTTGATGAAACCAAGCAAATTTAAGGCAGAGTTTGCGTTTCTTGTTTTTCAGTGATGGCATCAATGGCCAAAAATACGACTTAGCCACACACACACATCACAACCCTTTTACAGGGCAAGCCCAATCATACATCTATTCATTCATCCACTGATCATAATTTTGACCTGAACCAGAGAACGACCCATCTCCAATTCAGCATCCCCAAAGGTATGATTTGTTATAGGAACATGGAGAACTTTATGACCGGGCTGATTGAATGTGCACCGTCACCATTTACAACACGGTGAATCTTCGGCCGGCTTGATTGAACTCACGACCTCTTGGACATGAGCCCAACGCCTCGCCAACCTTGTAACGAAGTCATGGCTGGAACCATGAAGCCTGTTTGATTGCTGGGGAAAACAAATGAGGTGATGGTTATGGGATATCTTGTACATGCACAGGTTGTAAACTGTAGGCTCATTAGAGGTATCAAATTTATATTTAGAAGAAGAAAAAATAAAATTTGGCATCTAAATCTAAACAATCCTTTCTGTGGTAGGAGGGACGGAGAAGGGGGCGATTACAACACACACTGTTTGCGTGATCTGTGATCACCACCCTTAATATATAGATAAGATCTGAGTAAAAAAAAGTAGGAAAAATTTATATAGTAGACATTGCGAATTAATGTGTATGTGTGGAAAACACAAAACGAAAATGCTATCTAAATCTGACGTATAACTGTTTAGAAAGGTGACCAAGAGCAACAAAACCTGTTTGAGTGCGGAAAAAGGCAGGAGTTGAAAGTCAATTTTCAAAATGCCTTTGACCTTTAGCCAACAATCTAACAGTTTTTTTTTTTTTTTTTTTTTTTTTTTTTTTTTTTTTTTTTNTTTTTTTTTTTTTTTTTTTTTTTTTTTTTTTTTTTTTTTTTTTTTTTAACCTTACTTTAATATTAAGTTTGACTTCATTTTGACTAGGATTCTAAATATATATATGTGGGTAGTCATTGTGAAAAAACTTATAATATATATAGATTTATGTTTAAAAAAAAATCTGTAAAGTTGTGTTTTTATTTCATCCCAGTATTTAAAAAGTACTTTCACAATACTTACCTACGCTGGGGAAACGAAACGTCTTGCATTTGTAAACATATGCATCACTATTTTAATATTGTTTCCCATAATATTTATCTATCAGAACAATCTGGAAATTTGCTTAAAATGTTCGCCTTATTGTTTCATATTAATTCAAATATTATCTAAACATATTTTTGAATATTTTTTGTTGGACATCCTTTATTATAAACAGCCTATAGAAAGAGCCTCTATTGTATTAATGTAAACAGCGGGGGTGCCCGTACCCACACAGACTAATTCAAATAATTCCCAATACAATGAAAATGCGTATTATTATTATTTTTTCATTGTAAATACACTTTATGTCTGAACACAAAGCAAATCTCTCAATTATTCAGTTATTTAATTGTTAAAAATATTTTGTAAAACATTTTCAGAAGAAAAAAAGACAATCGACATTTGGGAAAACGAATTGTTTAGAATGGCATATTTTTTCCCCTGTTATGATCTACAATTAGTTTAGTGTTACATGATATGTAGGTTGTTTAGGAAGTGGGAGTATTCGTCATTTTCAATTAACTTTTTGTAGGAATATTGATTTAAACTGGAAAGAAAAAGGAGTTCGCATTTTAATTCCACTGCGGTTTTTTGAAGGCTCCGTCGTAATATGAAATGATGCATTTTTGCGAATAATAAGTTTCCAACTGTTACACATGACTGCTAGGTCAAGTTTGGTCTATCTAAAGTCAGCGCTGTTTACGAATTTTTTTTTTTTAAATGGCGCAAAACGTCAATATGGAGAAAAACCACAGTTCTGAGAAAATGCAAGGCGTTTGTGGTTTAATTTTTTAATATTGAAAAACTTACTCCAATGCTTCATTAGCTGGGCTCATAAAAATTTACAAGAACTGAGAATGAGACAGTGATTTTGATAATTTTCATCTAGGTGGAAAAATGTCGCCAAATTGGAAGTTTTTAAAAAAAGTTTAATAATTTTTAAATTATTTGTCCGTTCTAAGACCCAGATAATTCTTCACGGCAAGATTATATATATAGTTTAAAATTATAGCATTGCATCAAGTGTAAAGCACTTGAACTATGGATTTTTTTCTTATTTTCCTTTGCGATAAAGCTTCGAAAAGCAGTGTTAACTGTCTTTGTAAGAACTCAAAAAAATATTTTCAGTATCGGAATTATGCTAGGATGAGTGAACAGGCTTGATATTCTAGGAAGGTTTGATATTGTGTTTAAGTTTACGCGTAAAATTTTACCATTCATAAGAGTTTTCTGTAATTTATAAACTCTTAACAGGTCGTGGACCTAAAACAAACTTAACAACACAACATTTAATGTCACAGCATAAAAAGAGTAAGGTTTGCCATGATTTTAGTGTTATCCCTTATTTGGCTATATTTGTGTAAAATAGCGCCGTTTGTTATTTTTTGGACAGTATCCATAGTAAGATTGCGTAGTCTTCCGAATTCACATTGTTGTTTGTTTCGTTGGAAGTTAGGTTGAAGGAAAGCGTTCTATTTAAAGCACTACAAGTATAATAATATTGGATGGTGCGCTTTTTTAAGCTTAGGCGTAAAAAATCAATTTAAAATAGTAACCCGGAAGTCTTGCGATGGATTTTAACCCCAAGTGTCATCTGTGCTTAGCTTTGCACGATCAACCATCCATGAGCAAAATGCAACAGAATGCCACTTGATAGGATTTTTAGTATAATCAGTGATAAAAAAATAAAAACTACTTTTCTTATTATAGTTAATTACAACTGTAACTATTTTCTTACAAATGTAGTTAACTACAACTATTTCCGAAATATCATTATTTCACTACCTTTTAGGAGGTGAACTTTGCTGGAGAACTTAATTTACACCCATGTTCAAAATGGTTTTGAATGATAAAAAAAATTGGCTGATTTAAACATGAAGAATTATTACGAAATATTTGATCATTTTTACATGAGCCAGTTTGTTATTTTAAACCAGTTTTTACGAAATTTTTTTTTTAGCCTTCAACTTTTTATGGTCCCGCAGGATCGTTAAGACACGGCTCCCAGCAGATCACCGAAGTCAAGCATCACTGGCTGCGGTCAGTGTGCGGGTGGGTGACCACTTGGGTCAGCCTGCGTAGGGACCGGGGGTGTGCGGTATGGGTCCTCGTTAAACTGTGCTACCGTAAAGTGCTCGACTTCGCGTGCACGTCGTCGGGCTACCGAAGCGGGGTGCCATCCCCTCTGCAAAGAATCAAAATTGTGATGGCATGTCTTCGGATCATCCTCCAGGGATGTTTGCCAGACCGTCGCCAATAGCCCATTGTGCAGTTTTAGTGCGACGTATATTAACTACAACAACAACAATCAACTTTTTATGACTTTCTCGACAGCGAATATTTAATTTAAGAAATGATACGAAGTTTTCAAGTATGTTATGTGCTATTTTTGTAAGTGTTTAATTTTTTTTCTTATTAGAAATAAAGTACTTCAAAAATTACTATGAAAATAAGTTTCCTTCCATTAAAATAACATTAATGTTTCATTAACGTGTACATTCACATATGAAGGTGTCGCAAACTTTATGAACAAAAACTTGTTTGCTCTGAAACAGTAGCATGATTCTCATTAACGCTCGGCTGCATGAGTTATTCTCTTTGCGTGCATCGAAGATTTGCACCAATCAGTTTCGAAAAATTAGTTGTGTTTGAACCTTGTTTCTTTACTAAACTAACGTTAAAATTAGGTGCCAGGCTCCGCCAAAAATTACTGTTTTTCGCAGCACACTACTCGCTACTCAACATTTTTTTAAACACTAGAACACTACTCTACTAACTACGTAAAAAATAGGGACTACAATAGTTTTGCTACTTGTTGCGCGTTTCATTTTCTCCACTAATTGCAACTATTGATCACAGTATAAACCGAGACACATTAATAAATATTTTTACATAATTTTAGTACAGAATCGTATTTAAAATATATATAAAAAAAGATTCCATGTAAGTGGTATAGCTAAATGGTTTAAGTAAACAAATTTTTCCCTATAAGGAGAAATTTTCGATAACGTTCGTACATTCCACAACGTTTTTCTACAATATCAAACAATATCTTTTTGCGATCGTTATAATAAGGGTTCATTTTTATTTTATACAATATTACGGTACGGTTCGAAGCTGTGTTTTTAACGATATTGTTTTTGAGATATATGCTACTAGGGTAGTACTGCTGCCTTTTCGTACTTTTTCTGCATTTATTGAAAATTCAAAGGCAATGTGTATTGTAATATTTCTACTGCAGATCAAAATTTTTCTGTGTTTGAGAGCTACTTGGAAGGAAAAAAGGAACACATTTTTCTACAACTTAGTGAGGTTTTACACAATTGGTCGTCGCCTTTTTGTTTATTTTTAGGCATTTCGAAACATTTCATGGCATTTTCGAAAGTTCAAGAGTAGATTTTTCAGATGTTATAATTTAAAATCTGAAATAACAAATGTGATAGGTTAAAACAGCTTCTAGAATCATTCGTGCTATTTTTTTAACCTTTATTTTTCTTTTTTTGAATTTTAAAACGATATCCTAATACTAAAAAAAATGATAATAATATATTTGCTCAATAGTGGTACTGTAATGTATTTTAATGCAATGTTTATTCGTAAAAAGTAAGGAATTGTAGCATTTAGAAACAGTTTTTAAACCTTTTTTTAAAATGAAATTTTGTAGAAAGTTTTAGTAAAAGATGATAACAATTTGACAAAGAGGCACATTTATTAGGAAAATAATTTAAAAAAAATAACAAATTACCTTCTGGTGTGTGTGGTCTACAAATTCCACCAAAAAAGGGAAGACCTGCGCAACAATGGCTATCATCACATTCCGCTTGTTCGAGGCATCGCCCAGCCGAAGCTACCTAAAACGAATAAAGTAAAACAACGTTAATAAACACAAATAAAACTCAAAAATGGCGTAGTATACATTCCCCTCTATAAACAAGAAAGTTCCTTTGTGTCTAAACAACAAATGACTGTAGAAAAGTAACGAGACAAACAGGTGCTAGGAGGTTTAACTACTTGGGACTGACGAACGATATAATAATATAAGGGAGATAAGAAACTAGTGGGAAAGGATGGGATACTAGAAAGATCATTAACTAAATTGCTAGAATTTTTCAAAATGCGGAATGAGTCTCAGAAATCAAGTTCGGTGGATGAAGAGTAGTGTTGAATGTTTTTAGCAGAGGAAAACTCAAACCTGTGATTTGAAGTCAAACTCGGTTGAGTGATGGAAGATCGTTTAATATCCCTATGTTAAACATATCTTTTATGTTCTTTAAATCGAAATTTACGTGTAATTTGACCAATATTTTTTTAAAACTTCATTTATTTATTTATTATTTTTTTATGGCGGGCACTTGGGGTTTGTCCCATTGGCCATAGGAATGCCAGAACTGCTACTCTCTTCTCGTTATCCGGTTGGTACCTGTGGCGAAGCCACGGCGGTGGAGCAGCGTCGCTCACGTCACACAACCACAAACCCGTTTATAGGGCGGGTCACATTCACACAAAAGAGATAGGACACAGAACGAGAAAGAAACATTCATTCCCTGAGCAGGATTTGAACCCGCAGCCAATTTCTCCGCAGTCTGGCACGCTAACCACTCGGCCACCTGGTCGGCAATTCGACCAATATATGCAAGACCCTACAAACGAAAAATTTGATAAATATCCCCAGCTATTAATATCACCAATAGTGTCTGTAAGGTTGCGAAAATTTAGTCTGTTTGCTTGGTGGGAACGACTTTAAATTCAATTTTATTCAAAATCTTTTCAATGCGAGGACTGATTTTAAGGTGATGCTAAGTTGAACGATATTATCGCAAACCTCAATCTTGATTACATGACACTGTGGTTCAACTTGAACGGTTCAATTTAAATCCTTATTAATTTCAGCAAATTTGCACCATTCGGTAGTTGAAAGTACCGATATCGTAGTTGAACGTTGGAACGATTTTTTAAAAAGTTTAAATTCAATAAAATAATAATTTTCGTTTTAAAATGGTGTCTATTATTTAACTTCTACCAATTCAGCTCCTTTCAAAATCGATGAATAGAGCCGTTTAGTGCTGGGCGAAATGGGTATAAATCATTAAGTGTTTTTTTTTATTATCCCGATTGTTTAAAGCTTTATTTATTTTACTTGAGGCCGCATCTGTACTTTTCAGAGTATCAATTGACTGTATTTCGATGCACTCTCAGAAATCAGTTTCTCACTTTTGACGTTTCTGCAATCTTTCGTATTTCGTTCAATCATTTCATCACAAAATCGCGTGATTTGTGATGAAACGCGATCTTTCAAATACATGACGAAAATGGTTTCTCAACTCGAAACCTCATTGCAGTGCATTGTGGGAGATAGCTAGTGTGAATGAAGAATAGATGAGCGTAACAAGACTGACGAAATAGGCTGATCGACCTGGTTAGGGAGTTGGCCTCATACTAGAGAGATCCAGGGTTCGAATCAGGCTTCTGTCTGTCATATCATTGTTGGGATGACAATAATTCACCTATAGTTTGTCTAAAGTAAGAACTCCCCAAGCTATTCCTCTGGACCCGTGTCGGTGACTATGGTAACGAGGTATGACTATTTCAAGTAGGACTGTGGAGTCACTGTTTAGGACAAGTTTTGGCTCGAGGATGCGAAAGAAACGTAATCTTTACGTATTAAGTTGTCATTTTACTTTGGATTTAAACTAATGATTATTTGAATTCATCATGATTACTTATGATTTAATTCAATCATGAATAAATTCATGAGGATTATTAATTGCATTTATGACTTATAGGAAATAATTTGATCAATAAATAAGAATAATCAATAATGTTATATAATAATAATAATTATTAATTAATTAAAATTAATATTTTTTTGTAATTATTACTTTTATTATTTTTTTATTAAGTAATTTTATTTTATTTATTTTTAGAGATGATGAAATGCAGGATTCGTTACTATTTTTTGAATAGTATATGAATAAATAAAAAGTTGAAAGAAACATATATAGTGAAATGCGTGCTGAAACGCAGCGAAAACTTACTGAAATATTGTTTTTAATGTTTGTTAAACTATATTTAATTATGTTTTAAATATGAGTAAAAAAAGATTGTGGAACCTTTGCAATTAATTTTCTTACATGTAAAATAAAATAAACATTGAAAACCTATAAAACTTTTCAACTTTTTGTTACAAAAAATCTATTTATAATTAAAGACTTTGTATTACAAAGTATTACTTTTTCCGGAACATTTTAACTGTCATGTAATTTAGAGCGTAAATACAGCAATATTTTATAGTTGACTAAGTTATGAATGTCAATAAAACTGTTTATTACGTTTTATATTCCTGATTTTCCGAACAATATTCATTTAATATTTTTAACGAAATTAACTCCAATGGAAACCATTGGAGAGTGTTGATGATTTTATGAGGGTGGGAATTTTATAGGTTTATTTCCTCAACTCTCGAAACTAGAAAACGTAGGATAAATCTTTTCGGCATTTCTAAAGGATAGTAAAACTCATGAAATTGATTTCGCATAAAATTTTATAGATCATGCAGTCAGGGAATCAATGGGCACAGGAAACTGAGTAGAATATATTTGCTATTTCTGATATGCGTAAGTTAAAAATCACTTGCAAGAATTCGATAAGTTGTATTTATCTCGAATAATTTATTTATACACAATGTTTGTTAAATAACTCGCTGGTTAGATACAGGGTGTGCTGTAAAGACCACATTTAGTATATATTTTTAGAATCTTTCTTATAAATTAAGTCAAAATTTTACACATCGCGAATGAATATTAAAGCACGAAAAAAAAGCTATCGAAATCTGCTAAAACGCAATTGAATAGAGCAGTGCACGAAAGAAAAAACGGACCACCCTAGATAATTTTTGTTCTTATGATCAGATCTTCGCATTCTTCTCAATCTTAATGGTTCAAGGGGGTGACTTCATATATACTAAATAATTAGTGCGAACGATATTTTAAGTTACGAAATCAAACACAAAATCGTACTTTCTCTAATCAAACACACCTTTTTTTTTGGTGGATTCGGCATTCTGACACTCTAAATATGGTCCCAATGGTTCGGACAGGAAAGCGGTTCAAAGCTTGGACCACTTAATGTTTATTTTACTTTTTACGTATTTCGTCATATCTCGGGAACTTTTTAAGCGAATTATTTAAAACGTTTTGCACTTAATTACAAAATTTGCTTATCCAAAGAAAAACCACGTAATATATTTTATCCACGTAAAAATATTTTTTAGTAAATATTTATTATTTAATAGTAATAGTCAAAAATATTTTGAAATGTAAGGTGTACAATTTTGACATCATTTTAAAGAATGTAATTTTACATATCAAAACATAAAATTGGAGCGAAATCGGGCGAATCAGTCATCTAAAGAAATGGAATTTTAAAATACGATTTTTTTAAAATTTGATTTCTCAGAAACTATTCTATATATCGTCTGCACTAATTAATTAGAATATTCGAGGTTATCTTCTCAAACCATTAAAATTAAATCCTAGAAAGTGATGATCCGATCTTGAGATCAAAAAATATTCAAATTGATTCGTTTTTTTTTTGTGCTATATACTATTTATTAAAACATGTTTTGTTTGAATGCTAGTTGAAATTTAAAGGAGTTTTAAATCATTGTTTTTCAAACCCTTTGTCTTTTCTTCGGCAATCAAACAGAGTTTGATATTTAGTACATCTGCTTTCGTCAATAGTGGTTTGTCGCATTTTTATAGCTTTTTTTTTCTCGTTTCAATATCAATGTATGACCGATATTAATATGTGATGTCTTTTTATTATTCCTTTTCTTTAAAACCTTTGGTTGATTATCAAGATTTTATTTTTTGCTTGTTATTAGAAAACATACAAAAATAATCCCAATCTTATATGAAATTTGTTTATTTATTAGTATTTAATATTAAGACGTAATGCATAAAAAACTTCTTAAAAAAAAAACTAATTTTTACTCTAGTATTTTTTTCTTTCTATAAAATTTTCAATTTCATTTAAGTACGTGTTACTTTTAAATATTTTCCTTTCTTTTCAGCTTTGAGCTAAATGGAATTGAAAATTATTCAAAAATACAACATTACTTCTATAATTGAACATTTTCCCTAGCAAATATGATTTTTCGAAAAATATTCTCAACACATGTATTATTTGGAAATAAATTTTATAAAGAAGGTACAGCGTGGGTGCAATCTATTCCCCGAGTCCTCCATAAATAGTACATTTTATGAAACTCAAATGCAAATTTGATTTATGAGTGTTTTATTTTCAAATTAGTTTCGTACCCCGTTTGGTATGCTGAATCACTATAAATTTTTTTTAGTTTCTAATAAAAACGAATGTTTGAATTTAAATCTTGATGTATACATTATTCTTTTCACGCGTTTCTCGAAATCCGTTGATCTGAAAACATTTACTCTTTAATTTATATGCATAGTAAAGCAGTAAGTTTTTCAATTACTATTATTAATTTAAAATAATAAAATAAAATAATTAATAATAAAAGTATTAATAATATCACTCATGTTTTCAATATTTTGACTCCCTCCTCACCTTTATCAGAAAATGCCACTATACCCTTAATTCCCTGGTCACATGTCAAGCTTTATTAAAAAGCATTCCCGCAATAGATCTGGGGGTCATGAAGGTTGAGGCTCCACAATTTTTTGACAAATTTTATTTGAGCTTCAAGCCGCCTCTGGGGATCGAACAGCATTTCGTTACAACGACAGCTCAATGCCTTAAGAGGCCCAGGATAGCCCGGTCGGTAGAGCACTGGGCCCATGTTCGAGAGTTCGTGGGTTCGAAACCCACCGGCCGAAGACTCCCCGTGGTAGTAAATGGTGACTGATGCACGTTAAATCTGTCGAGTCGCAAAGTCCTCCATGTTCCCATAACAAAGCAATACCTTGGGGGTACTGGATTGGAGATCGATTGTTCTCTGATTCAAGTCAAAAATCACGATCTGTGGATGAATGAATGGATGTATGAATGGGTCCGCCCTATAAACGGGTGTGACGTATGGTGTGGAAGAAGTTGAGAAGTTCTTGGCCATAGATGGCGCCACCGGAAAATAAGAACAATCGCACCCTTCTGCCTAAACAGGCATACGAAAGCAAGCAAGCAATCTTTTACAAGGGAAGAAAATTTTCGTCCCAAATTCTTCTTCTCTTTCATTACTAATTTAAAAGAAGGGGAAAGTATGTTCAAGCAAATCTAGAATAAGTCATGAAGTTTAAATTGCTGGAAAAAAAATGCTTCGAAATATTAAAATACGAACAAATTATTAGAAGAGAATTTCTCCTTTGCGTTATCCTAAGTTATCATCTCATCATTTATTTTCCTTTTGATATTTTGAGAATTTCTTTTCAGTATTTGAAACTTCGTGGCTTTTTCTAGGTCAGTCTGAACTCATTTTTTCTACACTTCAAATTTTAAATTAGTAATAAAGGAGAGAGAATTTGCAAGGAAAATTTTCTTCCGAGGTATGGCGTCCTCTTAATCACTGAGCCCGTCAATTTTACGGAACTCTAAATAATGAACCTTTTTTTTAGCGGAACCCTGACTTTATAAATAAAGTAGTCTTTTAAAGGCAATTGTGAATAACCTATAAAAGACTACTTTATTTTTAAAATATTTAATCACAGGATTTTTTTCACTTTTAATCATTAATAATTTTATATTAGATTTTATGTCTGATATATATATATAGANCGTCCTCTTAATCACTGAGCCCGTCAATTTTACGGAACTCTAAATAATGAACCTTTTTTTAGCGGAACCCTGACTATATAAATAAAGTAGTCTTTTAAAGGCAATTGTGAATAACCTATAAAAGACTGCTTTATTTTTAAAATATTTAATCACAGGATTTTTTTCACTTTTTATCATTAATAATTAATAATTTTATATTAGATTTTATGTCTGATATATAAATATATATATATATATATATAGTTCAAATGAAGTTCAAAATGAAGAATAAAACAAAGAAAAATTATAGACAAATGAAAAAAAAGGGATGGGAAATAATAAGTAAAAAAATAACAAACAACATTTTATTAAAAAAAATGAAATGTTAATTAAAAAACCGGAAAAAAAACCGGAAAAAAAAGATATAATCTTTTCTTCAGCCCACACGATTATATCCGCAAAACAGAGTGCTTTCTGATATTGATATTTTCTTCTAGTAGAGGATAGTCTACTTTACACGTCTGTCAATAAATACTAATAATATATTGGACTTTTTGTTAGTTAAAAATTGTTGAATAAAAAATGTTACAATTGACCCCACTCTCCCCTACCATGGGTACAGGGATATGGAGAAAATTATATATATATATATATATATATATGAGTGAGTGTAGCAAACTCGAATTGCAAGGGAATAGGAAATGAGCTGCGAAAATAATTTCTGAAGGTTGGCGAAAGCAGTGAGAAGGGGCTATGAGCCAATATTTTGTAATAATTCTCACGTTTCAAAATTTGTTCAAAAATGTTAGGCATTGTTTACAATGTTGTCATCTGGTACACTGCCGTTAATGTATATAAGACTTTCATATGTGTATTACAACGATTGATTTACTAAAAGTTTCTGTTTCATCATTATTACAGAAAATAAATATGAGACATGAAAAAAAACCTTTCAATGTAAGTGCACTCTTTAACTTCTAAGTGGAAAGAGAGTAGCTAACTTATTTAGAGAATAAAGTTATGATTTGCTTCTAAGAGAGTATTTATTTACTCCAAGAAATTGCCGAGAATGTGGTGCCTCCAAATATTAACTTAGTATTCTCCTTTTAAGCTTCACCCTCTTCTAGTTAGTTGAATTAATTGTATTCAGAGCGAAGAAAAAAAAACGAAATCATATTTCTTTGTGAAAGTTTTGAATGTAATTAACAAAAATAATTATAGCTTACAAGAAATGGATGGAAAGTAAATTCAATATTCAAAATAAACCAGTTAAAAGTATAAAATTGAATATTTTAAAAATGAATAGTAAAGGAAAGCACAAACAAATAACACCAGAAAATCATCGTTATGTTGCTTTGTATTAATTTCAGATTAAGATATTTTTGAATGCATTATACAAAAATATTTATTACTTTCCGAAAAATGAAAAATTGCTTAAAGTTAGAAAAATTAGCAAATTTTATACTGAATAGAAAATATAATAAAATAGGAAAGACCAAAATAGGCTTTTACTCTGTTTATAATAAATTTTATGATAAAATTTGAAGTGAATTTCTTTTAAACATAATTAACAAAATATTTATCATATTTACAGAAAAATTCTCGGCAAGTCATTTAATGTTAAAAAATGCTAATTATAATGAATACCTACTATAAAAATACAAAAAAATTAGATAAATTGTACTACTTACAGTTAAATTATAGATAAAGGCAAAAGCAAAAGTAGCGCGTCATTCTTTTACGCAATACGTACTTTTGGTTCAAAAGATTTTCATGTAGAAAATTGTTAAAAACATTTATTATTTTCAGAGAAATGCATTGAAAGTCGTATAAAATTAGAAAAATATAATAATAAAAAACGTACTTTAAAATATAATAGACACAATAACAAAGTAAGTCAAATTCTATTATTTTAAAATAAAGGTTTGTATAATTTTTTTAATGAATGTTCATCCATTAGAACATTATATTCATTCGCATTATTGATCAGTTAGCAAAGTAAATCTTTATTCTGTTACATTATAAAAATTTTTGTTTTAAAACATTTTTCAATGTAATTCATAGAAATGATTATAATTTTTAGAAAACTACATGAAATATCGTTTTAAGTTAGAAAATATGCTAGCTCAATACCTACAATAAAATTTAATAAACGCAAGAGCAAAGTAAGCCTTCATTCTGTTACTTTATAGTAAATTTTAGAATAAAAGTATTAAATATATTTAGCAAAAATGCTTCTCATGTACAAAAAAATACACTGAAAATCATTGAATGTTGGAAAAGCTTTGCAACTTTTGATAAATAAGTGACAGGAAATATATAACAACTATGTAATTGGATTGTATTACTTATAGTTAAATTCCAGACAAACGCATGAGCAAAGTAAACTTTCATTCTGTTAAGTAATAAAAAAGTTTTGGTTTAAAATTTTTTGAATCTAATTTCTTAAAAAAATAGTCATTTTTAGAAAAATGTGGGGAAAGTTAAAGTTAGAAAAACATGATAATTAAAAATCAACTGAAAATATAATAAATGCAAGAAAATATTTAGCCATCATTTTTTTCAATAATAAATTTTGGTATAAAATCTTTTTTAATGTTGAAAAAAATTGCCGATTATGCTAAATACATGACATTAAATGTAAAATAACTAATTGAATTGTATTAGTTTAGTTAAATCCTAGAACGCATGAACAAAGTAAACTTTCATCCTGTTACGTTAAAATAATTTATAAAAATAGGAATAATTTCCATAAAAGTCTATAGAAAGTCGCTTAAAATTTGAAAAATATGCTAATTTAGAGCTTATTATAAAATATGATAGGAATAACTAATTGTATTGTATTATAGTCGAGCCATAGGAGAAAAACGCAAATGCGAAATAAATCTTTTTTTTTTTAATAATTAAATTTTGGTATTTTCTTCCTTGTAAGAATTTAACAAATGTATTCATTAACTTTTAAAAAATGCATAATAAATAATTTATTGTTTAAAAAAGCTAATTAAGTATCAGAAATAGAATATGATGCTAATTAATTAATTCAAATGTTTTACTTACTGTCAGGGCATAAGCAAAGAATGCTAGAGCAAAGAAAACCTTCATTTTGAATTTTACAATTTTTTTAAGCTTGGTTACTTATAGATAAATATGCATCATTCTTAAAAACTCTTTCACTTAAATAGTAGTTGGAATCCGGAATCTAGAATTATCTCTTAGGTGATAATCTGCTTCCTGAAAACTATTTTAGTATTGCTATTTGAGCTGTGCATCATAGGACCCTAAAAACGTAAGAAGTGTTAAGTAAGACTTTTAAATATTATGATCAAATATGGGGATGAGATGAGACTTATCTTCCCTTGCTGATAAAAAGTAATGAACTTGAAAATGTTTTATGGCGGACAAAACAAACTGACTCAATGTAATTGCCAGATTGTTCGCTAACGGGCAAGGGGTTATTATTTATGGTTCTTGTTTTCGTGGAAGCTTTTATCTTCTCTCACGGATATTCGCCAAGGTAAAAATTGCCGTGAAATAATGTTTTTATTTTGAGGAATACTAAAAAGAAAAAAAATAAAAATAATCCAACTTAAACAAATTTGAAAAGTAGGATAAAGCGTTCGAATCCCAGCGATGGCAGGTTGATACGAATTCCGCATTCGGCTTGCACCGACCGCAGTGCTGACTTAAAAAATATTCTCAATGGTAGACGGATCATGGGTTAGAGTCCCCTGGACTTTAAGCTTACCGTGGGAGGGTTTTGCGATTTTCCTCTCCATGCAACACAAATGTGGGTTAGTTCCAGCTCCTTTGTCTTCTGGATTAGGTTCAAAATTACAAGTTTATGGAGTTGAACATTGAAACTTAAAATTGGCAGTTTTAAAATTAGCACTTTTGAGACCATTGTCCTAAGAGAAATATTCAAAATTCATTAAATTAGAACATAAATTTTTAAACTAGTTCCTTTGGAGTCTCACTTAACTTTTACTGGGGTCCACGTAATAAATTTGAACTTAACACATAGTGCACTCTGATATTTTATTCTTTACTGCGCAAAAGATATTTATATAAGCAAAGTAGCATAGGTGCAACAAAGTTTAGAAGCAAACTCAATGAAGAATCGGATTTCAGAATTCCTGAGTTATAATATTCGTTTGGAGAGGCTTATCTCCTTCTGGAAAATATAATATACTCGTATACCAATGTTTGAAAGAAATCACACACAATAACTCCAGCGCAATATATGCAAAACCAGGAAAGTTTTTTTAAAACAGTTTTCACTTTTTGAAAATTTTTAACGATTTAAAAAAAACTGTAAAAAAAAACTAAGTCAGCAAAGTAAGCACAAACCCATTGTATTATAACAATTAATAATTTTTCAATGTGACTAACATCAGCCCCATTAATTTGAGGGTCTCCTATAACCTCAGGTTAACCCAACAAAATAAGCACAAATCCTATTATAATGTTTCAACGTGTCTGGCAACATCTCCGTTATTTTGAGTGTCTCTTGTAACCCCAGACTAACCAACAAAGTAAGCACAAACCCCATTGTATTATAATAATTGGTAGTTTTTTTATCGAGTTTGACATCAGCTCCTTATTTTAAGTGTCTCTTATAAACCCAAATTAGCCAAAAAATATAAGCCACAATCACATTATAATGTTGCAACGTGTCTGACATCAATTCAGTGTCTCTTGTAACCCCAAAATAACCCAATAAAGTAAGCACAAACTCCATTATATTATAACAATTATTAGTTTTTCAACAACGTGTCTGACATCAGTCCCGTTATTTTGAGTGTCTCTTACAGCCTCAGTTTAACCCAACAAAATAAGCACAGATCCCATTGTAATATTTCAACGCGTCTGATATCAGCTCCGTTACTTTGAATGTCTGTTATAAAGCCAGACTAAGACAAGAAATTAAACACGAATCCCAGTGTTCTTCGTCTCCGTTTTGACATCAGCACCGTTATTTTAAGAGTCCACATTATCCAAGAATTTTTTTTATATTTCCGATGGTAGAGAACTTTACAAAACAAGTAAAAACAAAAAAGGAAGAACAAGTAAAAATAGATACATAAGAGAATCATTGTCTCACTCTATCCTCCCAATACCTCTCAGCCAAGGTAGTCTTACGAAGAGCCCCACGGCAGGAAACATGGTTGCCATCCATAATGACACATTCTCCACTAAGGGTATATTACAGAGACAAATTTTAAAAAGATGTCCAGCCAGGCGTGTTGAGTAAAAAGTCTAAGCATTGCAACGGCCTCATAGCGAGGTTAGTCAGATATGTAGATTTTCTTTTTAATACGACTAACTTTTGGAGGTTTTTCGAGTTACCAGTTCCTCTTAATTTCGAGAGGGAAAAAAATATTTGATAAGACATGTAATTGTACTAAATGGAACATGAGTACATGTTAGTTGTAAGATAACAGCACCCTTCTTTGCAAACGAGTCATAAGCCACGCATACTCTATAGAACAATTGTCTTATCCATCAATTCCAACTTTTTTTATGAATACTAGTTGACAATTCAAGATATCCCTGAAAGTTGGGTCATGAGTCAAGCTAATGGATAGGATAGCAGTTTTGGAATCAGAGAGGATGGCAACCTTTTGGTAGGAAACCTATCAAACTTAATAATTTATTGTTCCAGAGCTATGCAAATGGCTCCATCAAAGGCTGTTCGGTAACTTTTAATAGAAGAATAAAATGTAAACAGGTCACAAACAATTCCTGCACTAGTAATAGGTCAGGCATTTAAGAATGATCTTTTATTATAGACTCGTATCCTATCAGGTTTAGGTTAACTATCATTTATAGTTTCCAGAGCAAGAACACGAAGAACGTGGATGGGGGGAATATTACATTTAAGAACTGCAGATTGAAGATTTAATTTGACATTTATATCATGCATTAGTAAATACTTACACGGCTTGAAAAGCTTATTTAGTGTATGAGGGAGATGAAGAGCACTCCAATAGCCCAGGACTCTATGTATAAAACCACTATGGCAATATGTTTTAAGATTTTGAGATAGATTCTAGTAGTTTTACTCCAAAAAATATCATCGAGATCATCGAGATGCAATAATTTTTCATAAAGAATAGTAGATTTCTCATCAAAGATGGTGTTCGATGAATAAATATTTGTTGCGTTGTTGTTGTTGCTTATGCTACTTACCAATCAACAAGTCTGCTTTTGATACAGAAGCTGCGTTTCTTGTTATTTCAGTAGCAATATCTATGGTCAACAATACGACATCAACCACACACATGTCACAGCCTTGAGGATTACAGAAACCCATTTTGCAATCATACATCATTCATTCATCCACTGATCGTAATTTTGACCTGGACCAGAGAACGGTAAATCCACAATTCAGTACCCCAGAAGTATTGATTTTTTTATTGAAACTTTGTGACCCCAACCATGGGGATTCTTTGGCCGGCAGGATTCAAAATCCTTTTTTCACTAACACGAGTCCAACGTCCCACCCACCAAACTATCCCGGTCCATAAATATTTGTAAGGAGCACCAAAGAGTCAATAGGAGTGGATTCAACCGCACCAATGATAAACCTAAGGGCTTGATTTTGTGTGTTCTTCAGCTTGTTTATCAGAGTTTCAGGCATAGTTATAAGTGGATCACAGCAATAAGTGAACAATGGCAGGACAAAAGTATGGTTGTTGTTTATTGTTGTCTTATGTCACTTTTCAATGCTAACAAGAATATTTTTGCCCATAAGTGCGGTAAGTAGTAAAAATGGTTGATCGCACACAGCCCCAAAGACATCCAGCAGCCCTTTATAAAGGATTAATAAATGTTTTGTTACACAGTCAGTAATATACTGAACGTGTTTATTCCAACACAATTTGGTGACGAATGAAACGCCTACAAAGTAAACATAAACCCCTTTATACTATAACTAGTATGCCGTGCAATTGAAAAACAACGTAAGTGCTTCACAATTGATTCCAAGAAAAGTGACTTGACAACTTTCCTCCTTCTATTGCTAATGCTATGAACGCTAAAATAGAATTTCAAAAAACTGTCAAAACAAAATTTATTTATCATGCCTTTTTTTCCCAACAGATTCGTATTTCTGACTCTCAAAATATAAGGGTGAGTCGCAATCTGGGAAATATGGTCCGAATAGTTTGGTTAGGAAAGTGCTCCAAAGTTTGAACCCCTTAATGTTCATTCTACTTTTTTGCGTATTTTGCTATGCCTGGACAACTTTTTAAGCGAATTGAAAATTTTTTGCACACAATTATAATATTCATTTATCCAAAGATAATTCCATGTAAAAAATAACTTTTAGTAAATAGTTATTATTTTTTATTATTTTATTTAAGAATGGTTGAGAAAATTTTGAATTGTAAGGTATTCAATTTTTTGTATCATTTTAAAGAATATAATTTAACAAGGCAAAATACAAAATTTGGGTGAAATCGGCTGAATAGTTCCTGTGAAATTGAATTTCAAAAGAAAGTCAGATGCTTAAAATTCGATTTCGCAGGATTTATTAAAATAATACTTCGTAAATTCTGCTACCGGGGCCTCGACAGACTCAAAGTAAGTACACACAACATTGTATTATAAAAGCTAGCATTTTTTTAATAGTACAACGGTGTTTGCACAATAAAAACAAGCAGTTTTTTTAAAACTAATATTCCCTCGATTAATCTCACAAAGTTAAAATTAATAATACAAATCTGCTTAATGAGCTGTAATATGCATTAAATTAAGATTCCCAACTTCCTTTCCTTTATTTATTACACAAGGAATTATCTTCTTTGAATTGAGAAGTAAAAGTGTTGCAGAAAAATTACACTTCTAATGGGATCTGCAAAGAATAAAATACGGTAAATAAGATTTACTTTTGCATCAAGAGCTGGTCTAGGTTTTAAAAATGTTTATTTTTGCTCATTCTGTAAATCGTGCGAAGAATACAATGAAAGCCTTTCTCCTGCAGTTGATCTTTTTATTCTAAAAATATAACAAAAGTATCTCCATTAACCTAATTTCTCGCCTTCTTCGTAAAATTCGATTTATTTCTGACATACCAAAAAATGAGAAAAAAAAATTATTTTGAAGTTTTTTCTACTGGGCATGACATATTAGTTTACGATATAAATTAAAGAAGTTTATGTAAATTAGTTTTTGTATCGTTTGGATTCAAGAAGAGCAATTTTAAATGTATCTAAGCCGTTAATGAAAAGTGTGATTTAAATATTTAACTCAAATAATTATAAGCCATTCATGTCCTTATAACTTAAAGAGAGTTCAAATAATATGCATTACTTTAAAAGTACTTTTTTTTAAAAAAATTGATTTTCTTTCTATTTTAAATCAAGAATTTTTGTTAATTTTATTTAATTAAAAAGCCTTAAGAGTTTTTTAAACTC